AGTGCTTTATTTTTATGTACTAAATACTGGCAGTGTTCCCAGACAAGTTTGCTATTCCCACACCTGAATTTCTCATAGCCTTCAGAGTGAGTTCTGTATCTCGGCCCATACCGCTTTTGTTTACATTTCTGCCAAGGAACACTATTTGCAGCTGCTCCCCAAAATTCCTTACCATTTGCAGTAAGGAAGCAATTTATGAGAACCAACTAGGACAGATACATGACACGAGACACAGCCTCCCTCTCATGGCTCCTTCATATCCCCCTTTTTTATTTTGTTTTGATCTCTAATGTGTTGAAACACTGCCATAACATCATGCTGCTTTTGCATAATCATTCGTCTTTGGTTTCGTCACCAAAAGACTAAAAAGGCAAACAACAATATAATGATTAATAGAATAACACTAGTAATGGTTAAAGATAATAAAGCTTTTGCTTGTTCCAAAGGGTTAATAGAAGACAGTCTCTTAGCAATTCCCTGAAAAATTTCATTATCAATAAGTTTGGGTAATTGTCTACTGAAAGTTTCACCAATTTGATATTCCAGTAACTGAATTTCTAAAGATACATTTTTATGTCCAATTAATAAATTTCTAATCCCCCCCCTCAATCCTTACTAACGTTAAGAGGTGTTCCAAAAACATGGAAGCATAACTTGAGTAGCTAACACAGATATCTGATCTCCCATCCACAACACTGTTTGTTGTAAGTTGGCGATGTCTTCAGCTATTTGAACATCAATGTCATGTTGTTGTTGCCACAACAGATGTGAATCTTTATGCCACCCTCAAACAAAGTCTGCTGTTTGTATTTCTTGCTGCAAAGCAACTCCTGCCACGGCTACAGTAGATGCTACAACTACAAGTCCAATCACTGTGGCTATTATCAGTCCAATCATTCTTTTCGTTGGATGGGTCAATTCAGTCAAGGAATTGTAGATCTGCATTTCTCCCACAGATTCCCTCCAGGGTCGAGTTAAATTGACAGATAACCAAATCTCAGGACGTGCTTTAACAAGATACAAACTGTCTTGGGTTTGGTTACAAGTTTTCCACCAGGTAAAATTTACACAATGTTGTAAAGTACAATTTGAAGAACAAGTCAAAGCCCCTGTACTAGAATTCAAAGCAATATCTCCTGATAAAATAACATAAGGAATTTTCACACAAGCTTGAATATACCAAGTAGCGTTAATATGAAGATTTACACTAATAGGCACAACAGTATTAGAAATATTGATAGACATATTGCCAATCAAGGTTTTAATTGGCTACCCAGGTGCTAATAATTTCCATAAATGACCTTGAGAGTTGGTGTCTCCTAACAAATGCGGCATAGGAGGGGTTAATCTTCTGTCATGCCAAATAACAGTTTCATGCCAGTTCCTTTCAAGGAACCATTATGATGTGCCATCTTAAAGGTATTTTAGAAAATTTATTAATAAAGTCTCCATGAGGGCTCCAATCCACTATCTTAAAGTCTGTATGATTTAACAATATCTTAAGCCATTTTCCTCAACAATGAGTCCACACCAAATGTTGCATTCTGGGTTCTCCATTAGGGAGTGGGCAAATAGATAACAGGGTAGGAGCGGTCTCAGAGATATTACCGACCTTCCTCCTTTAGCCTTTTGCAGAAATAAAAACCGTAGTTACTCCAAAAGAGGAATGATTATACCTCACTCCCCAAACATCATGTGAATAAGATAAACAATGAGAACCATATCCTGGGCAAATAGGGAGCCCCCTCACCCCCAAGCTGTACTTATTAATATGCCTGCCTTCTTCAGCAAAAGGGAAGGGAAATTTTAAACTCTTGCAGGAACCTCTTAGTGTGGGACCTCTTAGCCATCTCTCCATTTCAGAAGTCAGGTTGGCAACCACTCAGCTCTGGAATCTGTGGAAACAAGAGCAAACCCTCAACCCTATTGTAAAATATCTCCTTCTATGATTTTATAAAATATTGGTTCAGGAGGGGAACACTTTCTTTTAGGCTTAGAAAAATGAGATAGGGTTGCAGTGTCCTCTAGCGCTTGTCACTGATTTTAGCAGACAGAGCGCTTTCCACCAATTATAGCGCCAGCTATAGCCCCTGCAAACAACTCAGCCTGATATGCAGTTCCCCTGATCCTGCACAAGCTCTGATATGGGAAAAGCTATTATTCCTGGATCGGGAGGCGGCTTGTCCTTGTCATAAATGGTATCTAATCCTGAGGGTAAAGGAAAATCTTCATCCTCCCCATGATCCTGCTGTGTGAAAGTGAAAGTAGCTCCAGGCAATGGAGCAGCTGAAGGGCTGGTAGCCGAATGGCATTTAAGCATTTGTTTCAGCAATTTTATAATCTCTTGAACATTGTTTCCTTCTCCCACAGCATCTGATTTTATCTTTGCTAATTCTGGACCTAATTCCTCCTCAGCTACTTCTGCATACTCCTCTTCCTCCCTTTGGATTCCATCCTCTCTCTTTATCTTTTTCTTCAGCTTTCCCGAGTCTGTCTCTGATAACTGTAAAGCTTGAGTAACAGCACTACACAAAGACCATAGCTTTAAATGTATAGTCTGCCCCTGTTAATGAGCAATGCGTAATGTTTTTACTACTTGTTGCCATGCTCGTAAATTCAATTGAACCTTTTCTTGTCTGTAAAACCAATAACAATGTTGTTGTACATGCACAAATAATCCTCCCAATAATTTATTTTTAACTTCCACCCCTGTAGAATGGAGAAGTCCTTTTATCAACTTTTGGTATTCGCATTCCATGGACAGGAAATTTCCTATTTTTCTTTTTGCCCCCCTGAAAGGCCCTCTAGTGATTACAGAGGCGCTCCCTTTTGGTTTACCCTGCTTCACACAGGTTTATTTTTCAACCCCGAAAGTCCCTCTAGTGTATTTTCTCTTACCACAGAGGCACTCCCTTTAGGTTTTTCCTACTTCTATTTCTTCTGAAAGTCCCTCTAGTGGTCACTGCTTACCACTGAGGCACTTCCTTTCGGGTTCTCCCTGATTATTTCCAGTCCCTCATTGGGGTGCCAAATGATGCCACAGTTTCTTGAGCAGGGAGAAGAACAAAGAACCAAACAGACACACACACACAGACAATACAGGACTGTAGCACAAAATAGACAGACAGAGACAATACAAACTGCAGCTTTGATGGACCACAGTGCTTTATTTTATGTACTAAATACTGGCAGTATTCCCACACAAGTTTGCTAGTCTCACACCTGAATTTCTCATAGCCTTGAGAGTGAGTTCTGTATCTCGGCCCATACTGCTTTTGTTTACATTTCTACCAGGGAACACTGTTTGCAGCTGCTCCCTTAAATTCCTTACTGTTTGCAGTAAGGAAGCAGTTTATGAGAACCAGCTAGGACAGACGTTTGGGCACTGTCCTAGACAGATACATGACACGAGACACAGCCCTTCTCTCATGGCTCCTTCACCTCTGAAGCCTGAGAAGCCATGTAGGGAACCCTGCCAGCACTTAGATGCTTACAGTGGTACTGGATTCAAAGACTTTCTACCCAATGGCCTGTGACCATCCTGCATTTGGCATCATTGCATGTGTTTCATGAGTCTGAAGAAGACTTTATAGATTGATATCAGACATATGGGTTAATATAGGACTTATAGGCTTGGACTGGACTGGGATGGGATGCTTTCCTAATGTACAATTACCCTTTATATAAAACTCTCTCTTATACACACATGAGTGTCTATGAATTTGTTTCACTAGTCTAGCTGGACTAACACGACACCTAAATAGCTTTTAAAGTTAAATAACCTTAGAAAAATGCAGCTTGATATATACTTTGTAACAATATATACAAGAGACTTCAATGTAAATATAAGTGAGTGCACCACATGTGTCTGGGTTGGGGGGCCTGTCTGTGAATTGATTAGTGGGTTTGACAACCATGCTGGTAAAGTAAATTTATTCTAATATTGTTTTGTTTTGGTTTTTTTCAGTCAGTGCCTAATTAAATCATCTGCCCAAGCAATCTCAGCAGTTATTTCTCCTCACCTTTAAGTTTTAGCATATGCAGTAAAGTATTGAGGCTACTATGTTTTTGTACTCAGTAGAGCCCAGGCCCTTATATCTTTCAAGATTCAGCAAGTAGAGGTCAATAAAAGAACAAATACTGAGGTGAAATA